GGTTTAATGTGGTCAGGGACCGTTTATCACCAACACTAAGTTTGGATTTTACAACGATCTAGGGTCGGATATATTGCATTCTACAGACTGTTTTTACCGATATTGAGGTTGGATTTAACATCGATATAGGGATCAAAATTATTGAGGTCTAGGGACTACTTTTACCAATACTAGGATCGGATTTCACATCACTAGAGATTAGAAACTTTATATGGTCTAGAGACCATTCCCATCGGCCTAAAGGTCAGATTGGATTTTTGGCGATCTAGTGATCGATTTTCAGATTTATTTTCTAGCTCGGGGTGGTCATGATAGGTAACAAGTTTTAACTTAAAATTACAATATGAGACAAAATTACAAATAACTTCATTCAGTAGTAATGCATTACATCATAGACACTACATATTTTAGAAATTTCAATCTGATTCAAATTGGTGATCGGCCGGCCGGTCTGCTGGGTGTTGCAAAGATCAGAGTTGCTTCATGATCAACTTCGTTGGCGATCCATAATGCAAAAGCTTCGACGACACCTTCGGTTTGACGTATTGTTATCATCGAAATTCACTCGAGGTTCCACAAAGAAATTCTCATCATGATTCCACTCTTGGAGACAATCGGTGACGAACCGACGGCTGGAAGACATTATTATTGCAATTGACTCCTCCTAGTCCAAATCAAACTTGGATTGGTCGGGAAGGTTGGTTGGGACACATATTGTGATCCTAACGGCTTACACTTACTCCCGACTTTGGTGGTATTTTTGGGAAAAATGGGACGGTCATGTACACGGGTTGAGGATATTGGGGCTGATGTAAGATTATTGGTGGATGTGAGCCCGTTGTCGGGTAAGAATGCGGCGAACACACCCACCTCTCAAATGTGAAGTCCCATCCGAGCACCGGGTCGGTTGGAAAAGGACTTAAGCTTGGCTAAATACGGATGGGCAAAGAATGTCTGAGCTGATCGCAGCGATGTCAGCTTTTACTTGGGGCGACTGATCAGATTTTAGGCATCTGATTAGGAGCTGTTCGGGAGCGCAAATGGGAGCGTAGGTTGAATGATTCATGATCGAAATCTCTGTCGCTAACTGAATTGTGATAAGGATACATGTTGGGGTCGGTAGAAGTGTAACGGAAAGCTTTCTAGTACCGGTCTCCACAAACAGTGCCAGTTGATGTAAGATGCAAATATAAATGATAATATATTAGCTTGGGTAGTGAAGATTGAGGGTCGGAGGGTCCCGACCCTATAAGTGTTCTTGAGAGAAAATGCTCAAAAGTCCCCTCTTCATAGAAATAAATGCTCTATTTATAGGGGAATGGAGGGGGCACATGCCGGGCGTCCGACATGCCGGCCACGTGTTCTACATGCACTGGTACGGTCGTCAGCCTTATAAATTAATACACGTGAGTTTCGATTCCTGACATGCACATCCTCTAGAATAGGAAGTATTCTTGCTTGGAATGCCCGGTCCAAGCCTCGAGGTTGGGACCGAGCTAACATTCTGAGTCGGGCCTCTTACTAGGTCATATCCGGTCAGGAATTGTTCCTCGCACTTCTTGTTCATTCGGACATGGGGGGTGAGTACCTAAAGTTAAGCTCGGTCTTTGCCGCCGCAAGGATACTACACAGGAAATCCTGTCCTCACACACACGAACAAAATAGACGTGTGGAGCGCAGGAATCGGCACGTTGTCGAAACAGGTCTAGCGTTGTTAGCCCATGGTCAAGTTCTCCAAAAATATTGGTTCTATGCTTTTGAGTCAGCGGTTCACCTAATAAACCGCTTGGCTTCCTTTGTTTCTAATGGTACAAGTCCGTACTTTCAGGTTTATCATCAACACCCTAACTGTACAATGTTGCATGTATTTGGGTGTGAATGTTTTCACTATTTACGCCCTTACAACACTAACAAGAGGGACTATCGATCCACGTCATGTGTATTTCTTGGATACCCAGATTCTTTTTATGACTACAGGTGTCTGGACAGGAATTCTGTCCGTGTCTACATTGCATGCCATGTTCGATTCAACGAATCTGTGTTCCCGTTCTCAAAGGCAACCAAAACTAGTACCATAACCCCAATGAGCATGCAACCATGGGTATGTGCCCAAATTCGGCCCCAAGTGCCTTCGGCTTTATCCCACAATCTGAGGCCATCTCCCAGTGGTCAACAAAAATGTCCAAGCGTTGCCTACATCATCTTCCACAGCAGGTGCAACGTCATCTTCTTACTAACCGTCGACCTTTACCACAACCACAACTAGACGACGATGCCAGCGACCCACAGTTCGCACACATGTTATGTGCCTGCATACCACCACCGATGCTCAGTGTCAGCGTCCAACAGCCTTGGTTGCGTCTGTTGATGATGATGAACCCACATGCCATTCACAAGCAATCTGATTACCACACTGGTGTAATGCCATGAACGAAGAATTCAACGCCTTGTTACACAACCAAACTTGGCACCTTGTTCCACCCCGTCCTAGAATGAACATAATCGGCTGCAAGTGGGTGTTTTGCATCAAAAGGAAGTCTGATGGTGCCATTGAGCATTACAAAGCCCGCTTTGTCGCCAAGGGGTTCAATCAGATTCCAGGCCAAGACTATGTTTAAACACACAGTCCGGTGGTTAAACCGACAACCATTAGGATTCGATTAGCCTATGCGATTTCTAACAGGTGGACTATGTGCCAACTCGACGTACACAATGCCTTTTTGAATGGACATGTCAGTGAAGATATCTACATGCGTCAGCCTCCGGGTTATGTTAACCCGAATTGTCCAGATCATGTATGTAAGTTGCAATGGTCGTTGTACGGCCTGAAACAGGCCCCACGGGCTTGGTTCATGAGACTCCATGACTTCTTGGTCCAGATCGGGTTGCGTCCATAAAAAATAGACGTTTCTTTATTTGTTTATGATTCGGGATCCGTCCGTGCCTATTTACTCGTGTATGTAGACGATATTCTACTCATGGGTAACGACTTAGCTATGATACAGAATATTCTCTCGAAGCTCTCTACCGTGTTCAGAATCCGTGATCTCGGAAAGCCGAGGTTTTTTCTGGGTATTGAGGTCGTTGAGATGGCAAACTCTTTAGTGTTGTCGTAGAAATGGTACATGACTGAACTTCTTCGTAAATCAGGAATGGACTCATGCAAGCCGTTAGCCACACCTATTTCTTTGAACACTCAACTTGCCCCAAGTGAATCGGATGCTCTCGATGATCCAACACCGTATCGCCAGCTTTTTGGATAATTAATGTACCTATTGATCACACGGCCGGACTTAGCCTTAGCTGTAAACAGACTGTGTCAGTTCATGCACATCCTGACACAGAATCACTGGGCGGCACTCAAGCAGGTTTTAAGGTACGTCAAAGGCACGTTGATCTCGGGCTTTGTCTTGCTCCCTCCACTACTCCGGTGCTCCATGCCTTCTCCGACTCGGATTGGGCTGTTTGCTCCATTGACAGGAGGTCAACAGGTGGTTATGCGGTCTTTCTAGGCCCCAATCTGCTTTCTTGGGTCTTTAGGAAACAACTCACGGTAGCCCGGTCCTCAACCGAAGTCGAGTACAAAGCACTAGCCGACGTCGCTGCAGAGGTCACGTAGATACAATATCTCCTGCGCGAGCTTGGGTTACTACCATCGACTGTCCCGGTGTTGTGGTGTGACAACTTAGGCGCTACCTACTTATGTTCCAATCCAGTGTTTCACGCCAGGACGAAGCATGCCGAAGTGGACTATCATTTTGTTCGAGACAAGGTTGCGTCCGGGGCTCTCAAAGTAAACTGTCTCAATCCACAACCAGTTGGCGGATGTCTTCACTGTTAAGCCGCTTTCCACTGTTTTTTTTTAATGATCTCCGTCACAAGCTTGGTGTCGTTCCTTGCCTCTCGCCAACACGAGGGGGAGTATTTGAGCAGTTAGAATATATCAGTTTGTTAGAGTGTTGTTAGAGTCGTTAGCATAATCTTTACTGCTCCACCTATTGTTGTGCTGAGCTTTACTATATAAACCTGTATAAGCTTTCTCAGTTGATATACAGAATTCGGAATATCATTTCATCATTATAATTAAGCTTTATGTATTTTCATTTTTAATTAATCTATGTTCAATATTAGACTTGTTTTAATCGTCTTGATGAGATCTTTCAAATGATATAATTTATTTTAAATAATATAAAATTTATAGTTAACAATTTAACAAATTATACAAATATATTAAAACAAAAAAAAAAAGGAATTTAAAAAAAGGAGGGGTCAAAATGAAAAAATAAAACATAAGTGAGGTTTGACGCAAGGTGAACAGTGCTGCACCAAATATGGAATATTGGAGCTGAACAACGCAAAATTTTCCTCCAATTTCGTGCTTTGGCGCACGGTTGGAGATGGTCTAAAAGGATGGCATGAATGGTGTATTGAATAAAAGCTACAGCATGGAAATTTGATGGAAAATTGAATTAGCTTTGGCAATTCAAAGTTGAAGAATCTGCAGCAATTACTAAGCTTATATAATATATTCACTAAGTCTATTCAACTTACTAAGCCTATTTCTCTATTCACTATCTATTAAGACATATATATATATATATATATATATATATATATATATATATATATATATATATATATTAAGGAAAGAAATCACATGTTAAGGAAAGAAATCACAAGTGTTGAATATTAGGAAAGTTGTCTTACTTTCGTATTCTCTTACTTTCCTATTCTTATTAGTAGTTTCCTAGACTAATTTAGTATCTAGTTTAGTATATATAGAGGTCCATAAAAGTATAGAATAGACAGAGAGAGAGACAATCTATTGTATTCGTTCAATATAATCTATTCTCTTGTTCTTTGGTTCTCACATATCTTGCTTCCGCCTAACTGGCGGGTGGTGGATATTCTCCATCCGCCAGGTCTCTCAAATTCTGAATTTTAACATGGCATCAGAGCTTTTGGTTTATTATATCTTGTGGATTGTGTTGTTTGGTTAATTATTGTGGGTCCATAGGATTAGTCTCATATTTTGGTATGAGTTGAGTCATTGTAGCTTGTTCAATGTCAATCAGTCCAGGGTGCTGCAGTGATGGGCAGCACGGATGCTAGGAGGGATGCGGACCTAGCATATGTCACGGCAGTTATGGGAGGCTGATGGTTGAAGAAGAATTGGTTCGGGATGAACCAATTGTCAGGGTGCTGCAGTGATGGGCAGCATGGATGCTAGGAGGGATGCGGACCTGGCATATGCCACGGCAGTTATGGGATGCCGATGGTTGAAGAAGAATTGGTTCGGGATGAACCAATTGTGTGCACTAGGAAAACAGGAAAACACTGTGTTGGGTAGCGCTAATGATGGTTTGTGGTGCGAGAGGCAGGAGCACTGTGGTGTTAGGCAGTGTTGATAACGGTGTGGGGTGTGAGTGGCGGGTGCCCTGTGGTGTTTGGCCTATTTTTGGCTTCATGGAAGCTTAGTTAGTGCAACAGATTGAACGGTGGACTGATTTGGCACAACGTGGTTTGAAGATTGATCAAGTGGTTCGAGACATGGGTGTTGATCTCGAAGGTTATGACTCTAGATGTGAAGTCCTATGGCTCATGTGATATATTTGTAATGTTATGGAATATAAATATAATATTTGGAATCTCTATAGATTAGGCAGTCTTAGAAATTTAGACACGGAGGTCGTCGACGCTGACAAGAGGGACGCTAGCAACAACGTCAATCAAAAGTCTCTTATTCCCAAGTTGGGCAGTTCTCTGTTACGTGCTCCAACTTGAGGGGGGGTGTTAAGGAAAGAAATCACAGAAATCACATGTTAAGGAAAGAAATCACAAGTGTTTAATATTAGGAAAGTTGTCTTACTTTCCTATTCTTATTAGTAGTTTCCTAGACTAATTTAGTATCTAGTTTACTATATATATAGGTCCATAGAAGTATAGAATAGACAGAGAGAGACAATCTATTGTATTCTTTCAATATAATCTATTCTCTTGTTCTTTGGTTCTCACATATCTTGCTTGCGCCTAACTGGCGGGTGGTGGATATTCTCCACCCGCCAGGTCTCTCAAATTCTGAATTTTAACTATATATATATATATATATATATATATATATATATATATATATATATATATATATATATATATATATATATATACACAGCTTTGTACTTGAGGTTGAAGATGAGCTTTGTTGTTTGAGGTTTGATGACGAATTATTGAAGCTTGAAGTGATCATTTGGCATGCATAAATCCACTCAACGTAGATGTTTGAAGATTGAGTTGGTGTAATTGGCTAGGGTCATTTTCTGTATGGTTATGTCTTACCAATCCCTGTAATTTTTTATGATCAACTATTGAATTGAGCTGAGGTGAGTTGCCCCGCAGACGTAGAAGAATTTGCTCCGAACTGCGTTAACAATTGATGTGTCCTTGGTTTTATCTGTTTACTAAGTTTTCTATCTTGTTATCTTGTATTGTGTGTGATTCACGCCTAAATTAAAGATAATTAATTTAATTAAAAATTAAGTAAAAATCATTTAGGAATCTCTTGCATTCAAGATTCGATTTTTTTTTTTTTTTAGAAATTAGTTATGAATACAAGATAAATCTCTATAAATAATTATAATAATTTATTTAAGAAAACATTAGATAATTCTCAAGTAATTATGTTTAATTTATTATCATTATTATCACAAATCAAATATATATTTGATAACTCATCAATCGGACTTCTAATACTTATCATAATTTTGCAAAACTTATTATTATTAACACATCTAATGTTATATATATATATATATATATATATATATATATATATATATATATATATATATATATAGGGAAGGGATCAGATGCATTTGTGGCTTCTCGTGCGGTTGTGCGGAGGATTAATGTGCGTGAGATTTGTAATCAATGTGCCTGAGATTTATACTTAATGTGCGTCATGTTAATATGCGTGAGTTTTGTACTTAATGTGCCTCAGTATTGTGTTTAATGTGCGTGAGATTTGTTCTTAATGTGCGTGAGTATTTCAGAATTACGAGCTCAGAAGGAAGCAAAACAGAAACTCACGCACATTAACGCCCAAGCTTCTTGTTACTTCTTCCTTCAATTTGGCCATGGATTCAGGATTATCAGCTACCTTCAGTGCAGTTGAATGTGTTTATATAGATGACGCACGCACAGTAAAATTTGCACAGCAGCTAAGTGTGGATTTCTGTTGTATTATTCCCAAAATTCTTAACCACCATAGCCCGCCTCCGCATCATCATCATCAAGGAGTGGGCAATGGCTACTGGGGATGGGGAAGAAGCTGACATCAATAATTTCTGCTGCATTTTACACATTCATGCACATTAAGTACAAATCTCAGGCACATTAAGCACAACACTCACGCACATTGAGTACAAATCTCACGCACATTAATCCACCGCACATCCGCACGGGAAGCATTCAACTGCACAGGAACCTTTCACTATATATATATATATATATATATATATATATATATATATATACATATATATATATAATTAGGTTCAAATGCGGTTGGTACGCCCTGGTGCGGTTGTGCGATTAAATTTGAGCCATTGATCTTGCTTAAATCAACGTTCAGGATTACCAAAATTTAAAAATAAAACAAAATAAATGCGGTGGTAATAATTTGGTAACTTTTGCATCTAGGTCAAATTTAAGGTGCGCGTGTTTATTCTTAAGATGCGTGATTTTTGTTCTTAAGGTGCGTGAGTTTTGTGCTTAAGGTGAGCGTGGGGTTTGTGCTATGGTGCATTTGTTGTGTGCTTAATGTATTTTTTTTGAGACTTAAGGTGCATGGTTTTCCTTTTTAAGGTGCGTGGTTTTTGTTCTTAAGGTGCGTGGATTTTGTGTTTATGGTGCGTGAGTTTTGTGTTTAATGTGAGTAGTTTCTTAAACTTAAGGTACGCGATTTTCCTTCTTAAGGTGCGTTGTTTTCCTTCTTAAGGTGTGTGATTTGTATGCTTAAGGTGTGTAACTTGTGTGAAAATTAAGGTGCATTGTTTGTACGTGTACTTAAGATGCGTCATTTTAATGCTTAAGGTGTATCAATCGCATGGGAACCCTTCCCCGCACTGGACCCTTCCCTATATATATATATATATATATATATATATATGCTCTTATTTCAAATCGAATATTTTATTGGAACTAATCATAAAAAAAAAGTTAAATTAATTATACAATAGCATTACGATTATATTCTTATAATTTTTTTGAAGGTCAACCATTGGATTGTATTTATAGATGAATCAAAATAGAATCTGGTGGGACATCGTCCCATACATATATATATATATATATATATATATATATATATATATATATATATATATATATGCTCTTATTTCAAATCGAATATTTTATTGGAACTAATCATAAAAAAAAAAGTTAAATTAATTATACAATAGCATTACGATTATATTCTTATAATTTTTTTGAAGGTCAACCATTGGATTGTATTTATAGATGAATCAAAATAGAATCTGGTGGGACATCGTCCCATACATAGGTAATGTATATTCTTATAATTTTCTTCTTAGAAATTTTAATTCAAACGGAGAATGAGATTACATGTCATCTAATGTTTTAATATATAGGTATAAGTTAAATTAGAATTTTAAATTCCAATTTTCTCCAAAAAGAAAATATAATAGAATTCAATAATACATTTAGTGTTGAAATTTTGCGCTTAATTAAAATGACATTTAATATAGCCATTTTGTGGTATAACTTTCAGTGGAGTTGAATTTTGATTTGGGTTAGGTCAATGTGAATTCAGGTTCTCTTAAGTGAGATATTTAATTTGATATATTCAACTTAAGTGAGATATTTAATTTGATATATTCAAAATGGATAATGTGTGGATGAAAATTAATTATCAAAATTTACCTATTTGAATTAGAAAAAATAGTGATGAGAGGGCTTTTTAATAAGCCCTTGTCCCACATTTGTGAAATCTCTATTGTTAGTTGTAAGTCGTGAACTATCTTGTTTGCAATCGTTATACCTTACACCACGGCGCGCTTAGCACTGTGCGCCGCGCGCCTCTCAAAATGACGTCGTTTTGGGAGGCGCGGTAGGAAGTTGTTGTGATTATGTGTATTTGTTCACACAATTATGTGTATTTGTTCATACAGTTATTTACATTTTTTATACAATTATATACATTCTTTTTATACAATTATGTACATCCGAAGCATAAAATTTGTGTGTATTAGGTTAAGAGTTGATGTGTATTATGTTAAAAGTTTATGTTTATTATGTATTATGTTAGATTATGTGTATTATCTTTTAAAAAGAGTATGTATATTTTGTTATATAATTATGTACATTCATGTATACAATTATGTGTATTCTAGTATAACATTATATACATTTTTTAACAACGGGTTTTTTTTAAAGAAAAAATTACCGCCATTCACTGGGGCAAGAAATTTCAAAAAAAAAATAAAATAAAATAAAATAAAACGACGTCGTTTTGTATCTGGGTGCACAGTGCAACGCGCGCCGTGGTGTAGGATATAAATTGCCTCTTGTTTGATGCTCTATATGGGGCAACTTACTAGAAATTGTTTGAGCTAATTTTGATCAATTTTAGAATTAATTATGATTAATTACAATTTTAATTTGAGAATTAACGTTATAACGTCTTATATAATCTAATTAGTTTTGCAAGTTTTGTGAGATATGAATTAAATTTTAAATTCAATTTTAAATGCCATTAGTGATTAGGGATGACATTCTTGGCAAATTATTGGTGCACAGGATGTTATGTGGACCATAACAAAAAGTACATTTTTACTATACTAAATGTACATTATTTTTGTACTGAATATACATTATACAATATAATGTACACTCAGAACAAAAATAATGTACATTCCCTGAATACAATGTACATTATTTTTCTATTGAATGTACATTATTTTTGTACTGAATATACATTATTTTATAGTATACAAAATATGGTCCACACAATTTGTGTGCACCATGGTCCATACAATAATGATTGGACATTCTTAGCTAAAACCCATTTTAGTCAAAATTGATGGGCTAACTCGATAATAAGACTAAAAAATTTTAAGGTTAGGGCCAAGAAATTTTAGCCCAATGGCCCAGACGGGCTAGGCCGATAGCCCAAACCATTTAAGGTTATTCTTTGTTTCACAAGTGATGAAAAATATATATATAAGGAATTTATATGTTAGTTCATCTTAAGTAATTTTTTTAAACAATTTGTAAATAAAATTTTAAAAAATTTATTACAAAATAAAATATTTTATGAAAATAAATAATGAAAAAAAAAACTTATTATAATTATTATATTATAGTGTAAATATACTAATGATTTTTAGTTGGACTTTAGAAATGGAGGTTTATATTGATTGAAATGTATAAGTTTATACTGTATTTATTAATGTAAATGAACTAGTTTATTAACATTGAGAGTTTAGAATGTTAATTTTAAAATGTTAAAAGTTTTAGTTGAGCATGCCTGATAAGCCCGACAGTCCGAGCTTTTAGACCCAACTAGGAAAACAAAAGCTGATTACCCTGATCCGATAAGTTCAACAACCCGATAGGGTTAGCGCGAAATTGAATGTGGTGGTTCGATTAACATCCCTAGTAGTGATAATAAATTTCATTTCTCCTATAAATACATTGCATTGGGTAGAATGTTTTAGTGATATTTATAATTGAAATTGTGATACTTACAAAGTGAAATTCTGATTTAAATATTATAATACTTATGTGTGAATTATTACTTATGAAATAAATTGTAATACTTATTGTGAAAATTTTAATACAAATTTGAATTAAAATTAAATTGTTACTTATGATAAATATTTTAATAATCATATGTGAAATTTTGATAATATTTCGGGTAAGTTAATTTTTATTAGTGATAAATATTATTATACCTATAACTTTAATTGTGATACTCACACAATTGTCTACAACCCCACCCGTCTCACACACAACGTGAGATAGCGTTACATAAGTTTTTGTCATAATGCCAAAGCGTATTGTAAGAATTCATTTAAAAAAAAAAAAAAAAAAAAAAAAAAAAAAAAACTACAACGCATATTGTATCAATATTTTTTTTTAAAAAAAATTAAATAATTTATTTTAAATTTTACGAAATTACCATCATATTATTTTTATTTTATTTTAGCCATCTTTAAAGAAAAATTAAAGATGCTTATTTACTACTTTTTTTCAATTTTTTTTCTACCAGTGCATAATTGTAATGGTATAATTGTAATCATTTTCTAGCATGCATATTATTTAAAAATAACTTGAATTGGTCAAATCAATCCTACACACATGATGATATGGTAGGGCCAACTCTCAAGCAGAAGATTTCAAAATGTATACTGTTTCTTGTGTGTTTTCAAATCCACAACTTTGATTTTGAAACTACACCACAAATGTCATTGTTTCGTGCCTTGTCAACAACCTATTTTGCTAGAAACAACAACCAACATCATCTCCTTTCTATTTATATTTTTAGAGCAAACCTAACAGTTACTACATTTAATCATCAGATTTGTTGACAACTGGAAAAGACATGGAGTAGCAAAAAAAAAAAAAGTAAAAAATAGTAAATAGAGAATGACCTAATAAATAATAAAGTATTACCCATGGCGCTAGCCGCTAGGCCAAAAACTATATATATGGTAAGCCATCCTCAATAGTGGGATTTTTGGTGTGATTTTTGAGGTGCGAAGTAAGGGAGAGAAGAGGGAAGGGAAGAAGGAAAAGAAAAAAAGAAAAAGAAAAAAAGGAAAAAGGTCTGATCTGACATGAAACTTAAAAAAAAAAAAAAAAAAAAAAACAATGGCAATGCTGTCAGGACACGCCAGCTGGCGCTGTGTTGCAAACCACGCGTGTGCTGCGCGTAACTCATTTAATTTAGGCCGATACCACATTCTGATAAAAACCAAGGTGCTTGCAGGGTGATTTTTTACATTTCTCTCTCCTCACCTTTCTCCTCTAACTAAGCAAAATGTGCCTCAAACACCGTGAAAATCCCACTAATGTGGTTACCCTTAGTTTTACTTTTGGTTGGAATTATTGTTATTAAAATATTTGGGTTAATTATTGTTAAATAATCTTTTATGCGCTATAAATTAAATGCGGAAGCACAATTAACTATAGATCGCATGTAAATTAAATCATTCAACTAAACAATGTTCATGATCATGGATTTTTAATTAAATAGAGAATATAGAACTTACTTGTTCTGTTGGAGATGTAATCTTTAAATTGATTGAATCAAGAATATAATGCTTCACCTCTCTGATCTGTATACCATAATCACCTCCTGATGATATGGAGACTGGAAAACTTAGAGACTTGTAACCGTAAAGATCCCTAGAGTTTTCCAGGGTATTTATAGATGTGATGAGAAACCCTCTTTCAGGAGGAATAGGTAACTTCCTTTTAGGAATAGAAATCCCTTTAGGAATGTGAAACCTCCTTTTAGGAAAATCATAATCTTTTTTCATTATACATCTTTTAACCATTATAAACTTAAATTTTAATAGAATGAGAGGGAGATAATTTCACCTAGTAATTCCGCCTTCACACATCACTAATCATCAACGTGAGTACCTTATGGAATTACAACCTTTATTATATAAATCAGTGTTAGAAAATATTTATTTATTTATTTCTGTTAGTATAAGGTTATTATTATTGTTGTTATTATTAGTCTGTATGCTATAGTTATATTTTGTGTGGCTTAAATAGGTTGACTTGGTGTAATATATTTGTTAGAATTAGTTAGAGTTAGATATACTCTGTAATCCAGCAGTTACGTAATTGAATTAACGAAAGCCTTTTCCAATTTGGTATCAGACTGGGTTTTCGATCTCTCTCCAACTTCCACCGCAAATTGCCCCCATTCTTCCCGCAGCTCACTAAGCCATGTCGTCGCATAGTTCCGATCGCACGGCCTCCGATGGTGCGTCACCGGCAGCCAGCAACTCCCTCGCGGGTGCCCACCATTACGTCACCATGAAATTGACGTTGAAGAACTTCTTGTTCTAGCGCATGCATATCGTACCCTTCCTCCGCAGCCAGGAACTCCTCGGCTTCGTGGATGGGAGTCTCCCGTGTCCACCAGAGACGATCGCCGGCACTCAGTCAACCGACGATGCGTCGCCGAGCGCCGCTGTGGAGGTTCCGAATCCGGCCTGCAAGGCCAAGGTAAAGCAAGATCAAACCATCGTGTCTTTATTGATCTCGTCCATGGCGGATGAGGTCCTCAACCGTGCGCTCTGGAGAAACACATCGGTGGGCATCTGAACGTCAATCACCGGCGCCCTGGGGTCCTCTAGTCAGGCGAGGTGCCTGAACCTTCTATCGCAGTTTCAGATGCTCCGGCAGGGAAACTCCACCACTGGCAATTACCTGGGGCGTGCCGGAGTCCTAGTTGAGTCTCTGATTCAGGCCGGCCGACCACTTACGCTAATGGAACAGAACCTCTACATCATCCGAGGTCTGCGTCCGGAGCTGAAGTCATTGGCGACCTCTCTGACTGCCACGGGAAATCCGGTGACGCTCTCCCATCTCTCTAACTACTTGCACGCTCACGAGTTCATCTTCGTGGATGACTACCCGGTGGTCGACAGTGGCGCTGGGAATACGGCCTTGTACGCTGGAACTGGTCGCGGCTCATTCAATAATAGCGGCGGCCGGAGTCAGAATCGCGGAGGCGGCCGGAATCAGAATAATAGCAGCGGCCGGAATAGTATCATGGTGGACGTGGTGGTCGCGGAAACCAGCGGTGTCAAATCTGTAAGTCACACGGGCACACCGCTGTGTATTGTTACAAGAGATACTCCACGCAACCGCCCGCTCAGGCTCACGTGGCTGTTTCTGGCGAGACACCGTCGTCCTCCGCTTCGTTGCCGGCTGACGGGTGGTATCCCGACACCGGGGCTACGGCGCACGCCACCCCCGATGCTTCCATGATGGGTCACTCCGAAGAATACGGTGGGCCGGACGTGCTTTGCGTGGGCAATGGGGCAGGTTTGGCTATCTCGCGAGTCGGTCATGCATCTCTCCCGTCCAAGTGTAAATCTCTTTATTTAAATGATGTGTTACATGTCCCGAGTCTCCCAGTTCCCTTGTTGTCCGTTCATAAATGCACTAATGACAATAAAGTATTTTTTGAATTTCATAACTATTCTTTTTTTGTGAAAGACTCCACAACCAAGGCGGTTCTGCTTAAAGGATCCACTTTTGGCGGGTTGTACAAGTTTCCAACGTTACGGTCACAATATGCGTTCGTCAGTTCCCGTGCCACTCCTACTATTTGGCACAACAGACTTGGTCACCCGCATAAACAAGTATTGAATAAAATCCTCAAAAGTTGTCCCATCACGGCCAATAAACTCGCGTCCCCTGAATCTTGTGTATCGTGTCATCTTGGCAAGTCGTCTCGGTTTAAACTAGATAGTGTATTCCATTGTAGTGAAAATGTACTAGATTTAATTTTTACACATATTTGGGGTCCCTCCCCTGAACTATCTAGTAGTGGTTTTCGGTATTTTTGCCTATTTGTAGATGACTATTCCAGATTTTGCTGGTTTTACCCGTTACGGGTAAAATCTGACATATATAAAACATTCAAGTCGTTCCGTGTGTCGGTAGAGCGCCAGTTTTCGCACTCTATCAAATCTATTCAATCCTATCTAGGGGGTGAATACCGTAAACTCCACACCATTTTTCAATCCTTGGGCAAAAATCATCGCCAGTCCTGTGCCTATACACATGAACAAAACGGCAAAGTAGAGCGCCGTAACAGGCATATTTTCGAAACATGACTAGCTCTACTTGCTGAAGGCAAAGTCCCGCAACAATATTGGGACTACGCCTTTGAAACGGCAACCTGCTTATTCAATTATTTGCCGTCATCGGCACTTAACTACGAAAGCCCATACACTCATCTATTCAAAGTCGCCCCACCTTATAACTTCCTCCGTGTCTTTGGATGTCGGTGCTACCCATATCTGCGCCCGTACAACCGGCACAAAATTGAGTACCACTCCACTCCGTGTGTCTTCCTAGGTTACCCACCCTCCTTTAGGGGATACAGATGTATTGACTTGGCGACCGGGAAAACCTATATCTTTCTCCATGTGCGTTTTGACGAGTCTATTTTTCCTTTTGTAACAGGAGACTCCAAACAGGTGTCTACACCACCGGCTGTCCCTTGGGCAGTTGCACCCTTAGCCCTACCGGCGCCGGACGGCCCCACTATTGTGTTTCCCGATAATGCGTCCTCTAAAAGTGAACCAGTACTGTTAGCAAGGGCTCCGCCACAGTTGGCAATCACACAAATAGCCCCGGTGAGGACACGCAAACGGCGTGCACAACCTCAAGGTCGGGATCATGTTATGCGCCTTCGTCACATGACCAAAGGCACAACTGAGCCCTTTCATGCGGGACACCCACACTGGCGCGAAGCTATGGACCAGGAGTTTAATGCGTTGTTGCATAATCAGACCTGGCGTCTGGTTCCACCAGAGCCACACATGAACATAATTGGGTGCAAGTGGGTATTCCACACGAAGCGCACTGTGGATGGCTCAGTTGAGTGCTACAAAGCCCGATTGGTGGCCAAAGGATTTAACCAAGTTGCAGGAGAGGATTTCTTAGATACGTTCAGTCCGGTAGTCAAACCAACCACGGTGAGGCTCTTATTTTCCTTAGCCGTAACCAACAAGTGGACTCTCCGGCAACTCGACGTCCACAATGCCTTTCTAAACGGTCATTTAGCTGAAACAGTGTACATGAAACAACCACCAGGATATGAGGATCCGTCAACACCAGGGCATGTTTGTCATCTACAACGGTCTCTGTATGGCCTTAAGCAGGCCCCTCGTGCCTGGTTTAAACGGCTTCACGACTTCTTATTATCAACAGGTTTTAAGTCGTCCAAGACAGATGTTTCCCTCTTCTATTACACTTCAGGCATCGCTCGTGTGTATCTACTTGTCTATGTAGACGATATTATTATGATGGGCAACGACGCTACACTAGTGGACACTATTCTTCAACGACTGTCCTCTACCTTCAAGATTCGTGACCTAGGACCACCGGGCTTCTTCTTGGGTATCGAGACCGTATCGTCTACTAGTGGCATGTTTCTATCCCAGCGGCATTACATGACTGGCCTACAGGGTCGCTCTGGCATGGTCGACTGCAAACCACTTACTACACCTGCAGCTGTCACAAAGGCAGTCATTCCATCCGCTCAGCCTTATGACAATCCGACACAGTATCGGCGTATCGTTGGGGCCTTGCAATACTTAACCATTACAAGGCCAGATCTAGCTTACGCAGTCAACCGTCTATGCCAGTTTATGCTCTCACCGACAGATGAACATTGGGGTTTAGTGAAACGTGTAATGCGCTACGTCAAGGGCACTCTGAATTATGGGCTTTGCATCTCGCCAACCTCATCTTCTGATATACATGCATATTCAGACTCCGACTGGGCGGGTTGTCCGATTGATAGGAAGAGCACAAGTGGGTTTGCAGTTTTCTTAGGTGGTAATCTAATCTCTTGGCTCTCGAAGAAGCAACGGACTGTTGCTAGGTCCTCCACAGAGGCTGAATACAAGGCCTTAGCCGATGTCTCCGCTGAGGTCACTTGGGTCGTTTCATTACTACGAGAGCTCGGGTTCCACTCTGGCAATCCTGCAACGTTGTGGTGTGACGATCTGGGCGCCACTTATCTGTGTGCTAATCCGGTATTCCATGCACGCACCAAACATGTGGAAATAGACTATCACTTTGTTCGTGACAAGATGGCATCCGGTGACTTCCTCGTCAACTATGTGTCCACGACAGATCAACTAGCAGATGTCTTCACCAAACCTCTGCCAGCACCACGATTTACTGCTATGCGTGACAAGCTCAATGTTCTCGCCCTCCAACCTTGTGCTTGAGGGGGTGTGTTAGTATAAGGTTATAATTATTGTTGTTATTATTAGTCTGTATGCTATAGTTATATTTTGTGTGGCTTAGATAGGTTGACTTGGTGTAATCTATTTGTTAGGATTAGTTAGAGTTAGATATACTCTGTAATCCAGCAGTTACGTAATTGAATTAACGAAAGCCTTTTCCAATCATTTCTAACAGTCTCCACTTGATTCATATAAGTGTGACACCTTTATTATATGAATCAACGTTAGGAATAAATAATTTCTAACAATCTCTCACTTGATTCATATAAGCGTGACTTTACAATTTTCAATCCTTATTTGAGCTCACTTAGTATGAAAATTTTAAAGACACAACCTTATCGAACTTTATTAACCGAATCATGGCGATTACAAGCCTGACATAGCGTCCCGCTCCCTTCCATGTATCACAGTTAATAAGAATTCCAACCATAATAATAAGGTAAATTCCAAAAGTACCTTATTCCTTATGTCTTGAAACAATACACTACAAAAAAACGCGAAAATAGCGATGGACTCGTTCCGTTGTTAATTTAGCGACAGAATAGTGACAACTTAGTGACACATTTTAATTTTTTACGGACTTGTGGATGATCACATTTTTCTATCCCAAAAGTGATTTTTTGTTATATATTTGCCTTTTTCAACAAGTTGATGAAGAAGCCCGACCTACAAGTTGAGGATGAGTTCATGTTTTTTTTCCTTAAAAAATCATCAAATGTTATTTTAAATTGTTACAGTTCATGTGCTTTATTTCATGCCATTGTATAGCCTCAAGAACGTATAGAAAAATGATTTTTTTTCTGACAGGGAGGATGCACACTTTGCAATGTAGAAATTGATCCTGGATCTTTAATCCCTAACCTTTGTATGTTCCAGGTAGTTTACTCTGTCCCTTGCTTCCCTTGTCAGCTCTTGTCTTAATCTGTATACTTGAGTAACGATGATTTTGGATCTACTATAATTCATTTTGATGCTATATTCTAACTGCTACGACTTTTGATGCCTTTTTATGAACAATATTAAGAGCAGCAGCTGCTGCAGTGAAGCATGAAGATGACCTATTTTTTATAAACATGTTATTGCTTGTAATTGATTTTGTACAGTTGAAGTTGCTTTTCAACCTTAAAGCATAATTTTGATCTTTTTTTCAAAATTATTGAATCTGGAATCTGCCCACGCACGCCTGCCTTCATTGTGTCGCCGGATTTTTTTTTTTTTTTTTCTTTTCCGGTGGAAGGGACCGCGCTGGCTACGAGTTGACTACTCAATCCGTTGCACGCCGGTGTGTTATTTCCGCCGCCGATTTGTTTTGGCTAGGAAAAATCGAGGCTTTCCCACTGGTTTCGGACGCCGCCGGTGCTATGGACTCCAGTTGCGAGGAACGACGGTGCACAGTGTGGCTTTGGTGCAGCGATGAAGAGACACAGCGTAGCGACTTGGAATTGCAGGCGACGGTGGCGTCGCGGGGAGGACGGTTGCGGACGTTGCCGCTGCAACAAGGAACGACGGCGGAGGTGGCTGGATTCCGGTTCGCCGCTGCT